ACACACACACACACACACACACACACACACACACACACACACACACAACCCACCATACTGGCTCTCGCCCCAGGATAGAAGCTGCCCAGAAACTGCTGCCTGGCTTTTTTTTTTTTCCCTTTTTCCAAGCTGTCTTATCTCAAACCCCTTCCAGCTGAGGAACTAGAATCAGCAGTGAGAAGTGGAAGCTTTCCCACTGCTTCCCTCACAACGAAGAGGCTGTGGTTCTGTCCACTGTCCCCCACTGGATCCCACGCAGAGAGAGGCTCTGGGCCAAGATGAGCCAGCAGACTGTAAACCGAGGGTCCCATGGGCCCTCCAACCTCAGGTGACCAGCTGATGAGGATTGTCATGTTTAAGCTACCAATGTGCAACCAACTCTCCATAAATGCCTTTGTGAGCTGAAAAGGGATTGGCAGAGTCAAGCGAAGACAGGGCTCTGGCTTTCCAGGGAAAGCAGCAAACAGCCCGCCCCTAGGTGAGCTTCACAGAAGCCCTCTCCTCACTGCTGTTCAGCACCTGCCCGGAAGTCACCGTCACTGTGGAGCCTGGGCTGGGATCAGACTTCCTTGCTTTGGTGTAAGGGTGCTCACTCCTCACCAGGCTGTTGTAGTATTTGGATTTGCATTCCAGTCCTTAGGAAGGGGGTCCTGAGGGCCAGCACTGAGGATTGAAGAGGGAGGGGTATGGGGTTCCTTCCTATTTCCATTATGCCACAGACCCTTCACCTGGTTCTGAAGAGCCACTCTGACCCACATCCCCTCACAGCAGTCCCACCTTCTCCAGCCCATCCCTGCACAAGTTCCCTGCATGCCCACCTCTCTCCATTCTCCTCCCCTCCCCCTTTTCTTCTCATGGAGACAGTATTGCTTTCTGTCTCTTCCTTCTTTGGTCCAGACCCAACCTGACCAACGATGACCATTTCTTAGGCTCAGCTCTTGAAACAGGAATGAGTGTCTGCACTTCAGCCAGCAGCTTGGTCTTCGGTGCTTTCAGGGTCCTGGGGTCTGTTGGGAGGGAAGAGGAGAACTAGGCCTGACTGAACCAGAGCTACCTGACCCTCAGAGGCAGATCTAAGACATCCTCGAGACCCTAGCATTTCTCCTTGGATAGGGGACCAGAGGGGCTTGGAATGTGGCATAAGAACAAGGAGAAGTTACCTAAAGGATGTCAGTGTTTTCTCCCTCTGCATGGGTTGGATTTTCCAAAGTCACACCGCAGAAGGTCAGCAATTATAGTGAATATGTGATGATAAACAATGAGGTGGCCACGCTGGTGTGGGGCCCCTCCCCCTCACAGCCTTGGCCCTTCTCCACTGATCAGAACCCAGGTCAGGGGATCTCAGAAGACATGGGTGGAGGGCAGGGGAGATGCCCGTGGTTTTTGGCACAGTTGTTAATTTCACTGGGATTTTGAATTCTTTTCTGTCTGAACACAAAGCCTGTGCTAGTCCTAGCCGGACACTAGGGGGGGGGGGGGGGGGAAGATGCTGTAATGAAACTGGTTAGTCAATGTTGTCTTAATATTGTTGACAATTCTGTAAAGTTCCTTTTTATGAATATTTGTTTAAGCTATTTCACCTTTGTTTTGAAATCCTTCCCTTTTAAGGAAAAAATGTGACACTTGTGAAAAAGCTTGTAAGAAAGCCCCTCCTCCACCACCTTTTTTTTTCTTTAAACCTCCTTTAAATGACAAATCTTCTAGGTAATTAAGGTTGTGAATTTTTATTTTTGCTTTGTTTTTAATGAACATTTGTCTTTCAGAATAGGATTGTGTGATAATGTTTAAATGGCAAAAATAAAACATGATTTTGTGCAATTAACAAAAAGCTACTGCAAGCAAAATAAAAACGTTTCTTGTTAACACAACTGTGACCTTGGCGGTGGTCTGCGCCCAGACATCGAGTGCCGTGCGGTGGTGGGAGGGGTAGGGCCCGGCGTGGAGCGGAGCGGCGGCCTCTTCAGCACGGCGACGGGACTGTAGGGTCCGCGCGTTAGTCCCTCCCGGACCGACGGAACTAGTGGGCCGGAGGCGAGATCGGGCGGAAACAAGGTTCCCCGTCGGCCAATCGCCGGGCGCGGCGAGAGCAAGCTATCGGGCCGGCCAATCGGTGAGTGTGCGCGGAGCAGGGCGCCCTATCAGGGCCGAGAAGGGGCGGGACGAGCGTCCCCGGCGCTCCGGCCCGACAGTAGCGATGGATACGGCGCCGGAGTGCTCAGCGCCCGCGGTTGGTGCGGGCGGTGTGCCGGGCGAGCCGGAGCAGGCGGGTTCCGGGGCGCTCACAGCGTCGCGAGCTGGAGGCGGGGCGGGCGCCCGCGCAGCCAATCGGCGGCGGGGGGTGGGCCCGGGCGCGACGGAGGACTGAGCGGCGAGCGGACGGCGGGCCGGTGACGGTCGCTGGGCAGCGAGCGGCGGTGATGGCGACCGTGATGGCAGCTACGGCGGCGGAGCGGGCGGTGCTGGTGAGGCTCGCGGGCGGGGTGGGGCGGGGGTCGGCGGTCCCGGGCGGCTGACTACGGGCCTGTCCCCGCAGGAGGAGGAGTTTCGCTGGCTATTGCACGACGAGGTGCACGCCGTGCTGAGGCAGCTGCAGGACATCCTCAAGGTAACGCGCCTTGAGGGCCTGTGCGGGCGCCCACCCTCCCTACCCTCCCCCAGCGCGGCTCCTTCCCCGGCCTCCCGCGGCTGCCGCCCGAGCGCCGACTGTGTACGCAACGCGCGGTATTCAGACCAGGCCCTGCCCTCAGAGGACTTAAGAGTCTAGCCGGGAGGCAAGCAGTAGCAGATAATTATCCAATTCCACAAGCAGCCCTGTGAGCGCGGCCCCGGGGGTCGGGGAAGGCCTCCTTTGGAATTGACATTTAACCTCAGATCTGAAGGACCCAGCATTTTGACCTCAGCCAAGTACTCGATCTCTCTGGGCCTCCCCTTTGCCAAAAGAAGATACTAGTACCGGCCTCAGGGCTGTTGTGATAAAATAAAGCCAATAGAATCACAAAAAAATGTCCAGGCAGTGCCTGGTAAAGCCAAAATTGTAGGTTGCCATGACTACTGTCTCCCCTGACTTTGCTCCTCACTTCCAAACCTTACCCAAGCCGGGAGGGTATCTCTCGGTTCTCTCCCCCTGGTTGGGCACGCAGTAAGCTCCCAGGGAGTGTGGAAGGAGCAGGTATCGGCTCAGGTAGGACCTGAAACTCAGGCTGTGGGGGAGGGGCCCTGGGAGTGGGGCTCCTGGACACATGGCTAGGCTGGAGTGGGTGAGCTCTACCCCAACTCCCCTCTGCAGGAGGCCTCTCTCCGCTTTACTCTGCCGGGCTCAGGCACCGAGGGGTTCACAAAGCAGGAGAACTTCATCCTGGGCAGCTGTGGGTGAGCTTGGGCTGGGTTGGGGGTGGGTTCTTGGGGAGGGGTTGGGATACCCTCTAGGACAGGTGGCACAGCCCTGCCCTGCAGACTGATTTCAGCTCCAACGTCCAGAGGATATGCAGTGGGACGGGCTGGACCATCCTGTGACATCCAGGGATGGCCTGTTGGGAGGATGGGGTGGTGGGAGGGGCAGCCGCAGGCGCTGCTCTGACTCCCACGTGTTGTAGCACAGACCAGGTGAAGGGCGTGCTGACTCTGCAAGGGGATGCACTGAGCCAGGCGGTGAGTCTCCCGGCCCCTCTCCCCTTCCCATGCTGCCACAGGACCCAGTGGGGAAGAGCGTGGGGGCCTCCTGCTTATCCCAGCTCTGCCGCCAGCCAGCTGTGTGACTCTGGGCAGGATCCTTGACCTCTCTGGGCCTCAGTTTCCTCGTTTGTAAAATAACACCCTCCCTAACCCGCTCATGAGATTGGTGTGTGGCTTCAGTGACAGGTGCAGGAAGGGGGGAGGAATGCTTTGCACACAGCGCTACCTGGCCCTACCTGGATTCTGGGCCCCAGGAAGCGTGGGCATTGGCAGGATTAGGCTGGCCCCAGATCAAAGTGCAATCAGCCAACATCTGAGCTCCAGCTGCACTTGACCCTGTGGCAGGTGCCAAGGCCTGGAGGAAGGTCCCTCTCCTCGGGTGGGCGTTCCGTCACTTGGCATGTACACATGTTTTCCGTTTGCCCACAACTACACGCTTCCTCCCAGACGAAGCCGCCTTCCCCTTTCTTGGCTCTTTTCCCTTTCACTTCTCGTGGTTCCTCTTGGGCCTGAGTTCGTTTCCTGACCTCCCTGTTCACTCCCCAAATGGCCAGGGTGTTGAGAGGCCCTCTGCCCCATGTAGTGGCTGTGGCCTGAACCACCATACACACCCCATTTCTGCCCCCAGCTCAAGGGCTCAGAGTGGCCAAAAGCAGAAGGGCATCCTTCTGCCCAGCTTATCCTGCTCTTGCCCATCAGGACGTGAACCTGAAGATGCCCAGGAACAACCAGCTGCTGCACTTTGCCTTCAGGGAGGACAAGCAGTGGAAGCTGCAGCAGGTAACCGGGCCCTTCCCCAGCCACGACTCAGGGGCACAAGGGCAGGCAGGGGCAGCCCCTTGCAGCGCTGAGACCTCCTGGGCTGGCCACTGTGGGGACCTGCAGCCACATCAGGCTTGGGAAGGTGTTTCCTAGCAGCACAGCTGTGGTGGGCAGTGCCTGGTCTCCTAGCCTGTCCTATGTGTAGGCCCCCAGCCCAGCGGGAACTACAGGGATACCCTGAACAAGTCACTCCCTGCCCAGAGCTTCCAGGGGCTTCCCCTGGCTCTTAGGAGACCAAGTCCATGCTTCCTAACAGCACCTATGTGATTGGGCCTGGTTTCTGTCCCCTCCTTCTCTCCTCTCACTGGCCACCAGCTGTTTCCACCTCAGGGCCTTTGCTCGGGCTTGTCCCTCTGCCCGGAGTCCACTCCCTCAGCTTTTCTCATCACACGAGTGTCAGCTCAAGAGTCGCTTCCCTGGAGCCTCTCCCTCACCGCGCTCATCACCCTGTTTGTTTCCTTGTGCAAGTTGCACCGTCTGTTACCTTGTGCCTTTACTCTATTATCCTCTGTCCTCCTTTGGAAAGTGAGCCACATGAGACCAGGGACCAAGCCTGACTCACAGCACCCAGCCAGGGCCTGGCCCGAAGGCGGCACCCACCCTGCCCCTCCTAGGAGGATAGGCCCTCAGGGTGGGGGTCCGTAGGCTGGGGCCCCCAGGGACGTGGCTGCTGTGAAGCTGGCTCCTCTCCCTGCCGAGGCCCAGCCCACTAACTGCTCATTGGGTGCTGTTTTTAGATCCAGGACGCCAGGAACCACGTGAGCCAAGCCATTTACCTCCTTGCCAACCGGGAGGAGAGCTACCAGTTCAGGACAGGAGCAGAGGTCCTCAAGGTGAGCTGCCCGTAGGGATGGGAGAGCCAGGTTCCCTGACCTCTGACTGGGCCCCTGGAGAGCTCTGCCCCCACATTCTCAGGTGTAGCCAGTGGTTGACCCTTCACCTCTCAGTGTATACATGTCCATCCAGCCACAGTTGAAAGGCTCACAGCCCAGGCTCCAGAAACAGCCCTGGGCTCTGATCCCAGGGCCCCCACTATGAGCTGTGCAACCTCAGGTCACTCACTTAGCTATTCTGTGCCTCAGTAGCCTCACCTGTAAAAGGGGGACAAGCTGTAGTGACTGCCAATCGTGATGACGCAGGTAAAGTGGTCTCGAGTAAACGCTTGGTAAACAGTAGCTACAGGTTTTAGTACCAGCAACAGAAAAACTTTTGTAATTAACAAAGTGAATTCATGTGGTGTGGAGAGACAAGATGAGCTCAGATGCCCTGAGTTCATGCTTTAGCTCTGCCCCTGACTTGCTGTGTGTCCTCAGGTGGTTCACCTATCCTCTCTGGACCTCATGAAAATTTGAAACCAGATGGACTAAGGTCTTTCTCAGAACTGTGACCACTCTCTGGGGTGTAATGTGCAGCCCCCATGCCTCCACCCAGTAATTGTGCCTTTCCCTGGAGCCAGGTGACCCCAGCCCCATGGCAACAGCTGGACGAATGGCTGGAAGCAGTGGAAACTGGGGCTCTGAGTTCGAGCCAAAGCTTTGCTCCTTGACAAAGGGAAGGGATGAGTGCAGATGGTTCCACCGTTCCCTAGCTGTGTGACCTTAACCCTTTGGAGCCTCAGTTTCCTCACCTTTGAAAATGGGGCTGGTGTCCACCATAAGGCCTCAACTTAGCCATCCCAATTCTTCCTTGAGGAAGCCCTCCGTGGCCCCTTGCACCCAAGCTGAATTAGAGTCCCTTCTTCTAAGCTCCTTCATTGCCTGTACCCTCATCCACCACGCCCTCGTGCCCCTGGGACTAACTTCTGGTATCTTCTATTCCCCATTGGACCAATACCCAGGATCCCATGCAGTAGAACCTTCTGTCCTGCCCCCGACCCCCAGCTGGAGCCCAATTACCTGCATCTTTAACAAGCCCCGTGCTGCAGGGGTTCAGGCCCTAGAGACTGTGACCTCCATGGAAGGAGCTAGGAGCTACCATAATTTTGTTGCTACTGACACAGGGGTGGGGAGGGGGAGGGGATCAGGCCCAGGCCCCGCTGCCCTCACAGCGGCTGTGACCAGCCCCCTTCCCCCAGCTGATGGATGCCGTGATGCTGCAGCTGACCAGAGCCCGAAACCGGCTCACCACTCCAGCTACCCTCACTCTGCCTGAGATCGCTGCCAGCGGCCTCACGGTCAGTGGTGCCTCAGGCCGGCCCCTGCTCCAGGAGAGGCGGTCCCCACAGAGGGGCCCAGCTCGCGCCCGGGAGGAACACAGGGGTGCCAGGAGGTCCTGCAAGCCCCAAATTGTCGACAGAGTCCTATGTGCAGTTTTCTGGGATGGGGTCCTTGGCTTCCATTCTGCATCCCCCAGATATGTACCCCCCTGATCTGGATCAGTGGGTCCCAAGCCCAGTGGTGCAGGAAGCTATCTGTGGTACCTGAGAAGACACTGGAAGCCCCAGTCCATGGGATGGGGACTGGGAGTCCCCGGGGTGGTTGGAGGGGCGGGCGTGAGATGTGCCTGCTCAGCCCTCATCCCCCTTGCCTGCCCGGCCCCCCTCCCCACAGCGGATGTTCGCCCCCGCCCTGCCTTCCGACCTGCTGGTCAACGTCTACATCAGCCTCAACAAGCTCTGCCTCACCGTGTACCAGCTGCATGCCCTGCAGCCCAATTCCACCAAGGTGAGCACCCCACCCACCCCATCCCTGCCCGCCCTAGGCCCCAGGCCTGACCCAGTCTGATGTTCTTCTGCCTAGAACTTCCGCCCAGCTGGAGGTGCCGTGCTTCACAGCCCCGGGGCCATGTTGTAAGTACCCTGCCTGGGAGGGGTCCCTGGAGCGCCCTCGCCCGTCTGCACCTCAGGGGATGGGGTCCTGGCCGGCTGAACTGCCCTCAGGGACCCTCCCATCTCCCCGCAGCGAGTGGGGTGCACAGCGTCTGGAGGTGAGCCACGTGCACAAGGTGGAGTGTGTGATCCCATGGCTGAACGATGCCCTCGTCTTCTTCACCGTCTCCCTGCAGCTCTGCCAGCAGCTCAAGGATAAGGTAGGGACATGGGGGCGGTCAGGGCCGGGCTGGGCCTCACGCAGATTAGGCCAGCCAAACAGCAGGTTGTTTAGCCCCTTCTTTTTTGGGGCGGCACACCTCTAAAGGGCCCGCTAATCTTAAGATCTGTCGTACCCTCTGCACACCCCAAACAGGTGGGCCATGGTGTTGCTTGGCAACAGTATCCTCTTCCTGACACATGGCCCTTGGATGACCTTCAAATCTCACCTGGGTCACAGAGGGTGCAGCAGGGGCCAGATCCCCTAGCACCACCACTCACCATGTCCCCCCATCTCCCTCCTTCCCCAGATCTCTGTGTTCTCCAGCTACTGGAGCTACAGGCCTTTCTGAACAGAGCGCCCAAGAGCCTGTCCCCCTGGGAATGGCCCCTGCCCAGGGAGTCCCTGTTCCCCCCCACACACACACACACACACACATAAACACGCACGCACCCACACACACAAAGTGCCGACCAGAGCTCGGCACTGCGGGCTATTTATTTCCCTCTTCACCCTGCCCTGCCTGTCACATCTGCACAGATGGGACTGAACACTGGACCCACTGGGAGGAAGTGACACTGGCGTGCTTTTTGTTTTGAATGGGGGAGGTCAGGAAGGCGGAGCTTCAAGGTAGCCTATAGTCCAAGCCCTGCCCTCGCCCCAAGGCAGGAACCTTTGGACTCAGGCTGGGGCCAGGCCCAGGGCTCTCCTTCCTCCCCTCTTCGCAGCCTGTCCTCCAGGATGGCAAGGGGCAGCCACACACCCCCTCCCACTGGAGCCTGAGGAGTGGGTGGTGGCCCTAAGCTCTGAGTTGGGGAAGGAGGACAGAAGCTGCCCACCATGAGCTGTAGTGCCCTTGACTGTGTTCGCTTGGCAACCCTGGCAGGGCCTTCAAGAAATAAAGATCATCCGATTTTGCCTGGAGCCCTTCTGTCTGTCTGTCTGTCTGTCTGTCTGAGTAGGGACCTGGCCAGAGGTCCCTGATAGTCAGGAGCTGGGCCGAGTACCCAGTGACTGAACCCCTGGCCTCCAAGGGGCCGAATGGGATGGTGAATGGGCAGCCGCTCGGTGGCTGCAGCACATCACCCGAGGTCTCCTGGTGACAGTCATGCCATCTGAAGGTTGTGAGGGACACAGGGGGCATCTGGATGAAGCAGTGGGGGCCTACACTGCCCACCGTGACAGGAGGCTCAGAATACACTCCAGACTCAGGCTTTGGCTGAACAAGGCATTGTTATTGCTGCCCAGCAGGACAAAGGCAGGGGAGCAAGAACTCTCCGCATTAAGGCTCCAGGGCAAGGTTATCAAATCCCCCGGCGTGTTTCTGCAAGAGAGGCACACGGGCTGGTGGCTTCACTCCTCGGCCCCCGGCCCACCCCACCCCACCCCACCCCACTGCCACCTTCTCGGCCTGGCCCTGGTGCTCCGGGCTCACCTTCTGGGACCTGGAGGAGTGGCTTTGGCAGCAGCCACAGCAGCAGCAATGGATGCAGACGACCAGCAGCAGGAGCGCCACGACGCCTGTGGGCAGGATGGGTATCCAGATATGGCCCTCGGCCTGGGAGGCTGCCGGGGGCCAAAGGCCAAGCCACACTCACCGAGGAAGACGAGGAAGATGATGAAGGCACCGGTGTCCCACTCGGACTGGAACAGCTGGTGGCTCCACAGTTTCCCCAGCACTTGCTGGGCTGTGGCGCTCAGCTCCTGCTCCACATCCTCCGTTAACAAGGCCATCTCAGCTGGATGGTCCTGGGCACCGCCTGCTCCAGCCCCCCAGAGGGCCACCTCAGAATCCTGGGGCTGCCGCATCCCTGCCCCCCTGCACTGCAGCCCTGGCCCTGCCCTCCCACACCACCCCTCTTGGCCCCAGCCCCTACCCCAGCCTCTCTTCCACTTCTCTCCTGGCCCTGGCCTGAGCAAGCTCCTCCCCGCCCACTCCCCCCAGCAACCCCACCCCTGGGCCCCCACCTGCCTTGGAGATCTCCCAGCCAAGCAGGTGCTAGGTCCTGGGAATACAGACTACTTCCTGCTTCCGGGTCCACATCACCTGAGGCCTTGGCAACCAGCCCCGCCCCCCACCAGTCCCCCAGGGCCCATGGGGGCACCGACTGAGCTCAGGTGAGTCAGCAGGTGCAGCACGGAAGGAGGAGCCCACAGGCCTCTCAGCCTCTTCATTCCAGAGATTTTTCTCAATAGACCAGACAGCCAACCTGGAACACAGCAGACACTCAGCCGCTGCTGCCTTCATGAATGAAGAAAAGACAGAAGAAAAATGGTGGCAGGTTGAAAGGAGGAAGGGAGGTGAAAAAGAAAGGAGGGGAGGGAGAGAGGGGAGGGAGAAGATGTTTCTGTTCCACCGCCCTTGCCTGGGCAGCGACTGTGTTCCTGGCAGCGCAGCAGCAGCAGCCTTTGGGGTCCTTCTCTATTCTAATCCTCACAGTGATGCTTGTGAGACGATGGTTATGGTCGCTCAAATGAGCTCTCTCCCCAGAACTTGGAGCCCAGGGCCCCTGACACGGCACCTGGAGCTGTCTCGCCTCCCCCCTTACCCCCAGGCCCTGGGGACCTGCTGTAAATCAGGTGGACACACCTTCTTATCCTTGTGGGGCTTACAGTCTCGCTGGGAAAACATGTTGGCTAATGTTAGGCTCTGTGCCTGACGCTGTACAGGCACACTTTACTGCACTTCACAGATGTTGCATTTTTGATAAATTTAAGGTTTGTGGAACCTTGAGTTGAGCAAGTCTGTCGGTACCATTTTCCAACAGCATTTGGAAACTTTTTCATTTTTATTATATCTGTTACGGCAATCTGTGAGGGGTGATTTTTGATGTTATCATTGTAATTATTTTGGCATTTTTTAGCAAACTAATTTTTAGTCAAGGTACGTACGTTGTCTTTTTTAGACACAATGCTATTGCCCACTTCATAGACTACAATATAGTGTAAACAACTTTACATGCACTGGGAAAGCTGTGTGACTCGCTTTTTTGCAATATTCGCTTTATTGTGGTGGTCTGGAACTGGACCCACAATATCCCTGAAGGATGCGTGTACCTAATGTATTCCTCATGGAAATCCTAAAGTGGGTATTATTGCTATTCCCATTTTACAGATGTGAAAACTGAGGCCTTGAGAAGTTCAGCAACTAGCTCAGGTCACACATGTATTCATTTCCTGTTCTTGCTATAACATACTACCATAAACTTAGTGGCTTAAAACAATTCAAGTTTATTATCTTACAGTTCTGGAGGTCAGAGTCTAAAATGAGTGGGCAGGGCTGTGTTCCTCCTGAAAGTCCTAGGGGAGAATCAATTCCTCAGCTTTCTTTTTTTTTCTTTTAATTTATTTAATTTATTTATTTTTGGCTGCGTTGGGTTTTCGCTGCTGCGCGCAGGCTTTCTCCAGTTGCAGCAAGCGGGGGCTACTCTTCGTTGCGGTACGTGGGCTTCTCATTGTGGTGGCTTCTCTTGTTGCGGAGCACGGGCTCTAGGCACGCTGGCTTCAGTAGTTGTGGCACTCGGGCTTAGCAGTCGTGGCTTGCGGGCTCTAGAGCACGGGCTCAGTAGTTGTGGCGCACGGGCTTAGTTGCTCCACGGTAAGTGAGATCTTCCCGGACCAGGGATCGAACCTGTGTCCCCTGCATTGGCAGGCAGATTCTTTTTTTTTTTAACATCTTTACTGGAGTATAATTGCTTTACATTGTTGTGCTAGTCTCTGCTGTGCAACAAAGTGAATCAGCCACACATATACTTACATCCCCATATCCCCTCCCTCTTGGGTCTCCCTCCCACCCTCCCTATCCCACCCCTCTAGATGGTAACAAAGCACCGAGCTGATCTCCCTGTGCTATGTGGCTGCTTCCCACTAGCTATCTCTTTTACATTTGGTAGTGTATATATGTCAGTGCTACTCTCTCACTTTGTCCCAGCTTACCCTTCTCCCTCCCCATGTCCTTAAGTCTACTCTATGTCTGCGTCTTTACTCCTGTCCTGCCCCTAGGTTCTTCAAAACCTTTTTTTTTTTTAGATTCCATATATATGTTAGCATACAGTATTTGTTTTTCTCTTTCTGACTTACTTCATTTTGTATGACAGGTTCTCCGTCCGTCCATCTCACTACAAATAACTCAATTTCATTTCTTTTTATGGCTGAGTAATATTCCATTGTATGTATGTGGCAGGCAGATTCTTAACCACTGTGCCACCAGGGAAGTCCCAGTTCCTCCGCTTTTCCAGCTTCTAGAGGCCACCCACCCACATTCCTTCGTTCATGCCCCACCCCCATCACTTCCACTTCTGCTTCCATCCTCACACCTTCTCTGGCTCTGCTCTTCCTGTCTCCCTCTTATAAGGACCCCAGTGATTACACTGGCCCACAGGATAATCTCCCCATCAGAATCCTTAATCACATCTGCAAAGTCCCTTTTGCCACATAAGGTAACATATTCACAGGTTCCCAGGGATTCGGATGGGAACTCTTTGGGCACCATGATTCTTCCAACCACACCTAGTGAGCAGAGAAGTCTGAACTGGAACCCAGCCATCAGATCCCAGAGCCCTTGACCACCATGTAATACAGTCTCCTGTGCTGGGATCCCCATCTTACACCCTCCATCCCCTCCATTCCTGTTCTGAGATCTCAGATTCCTGTTGCCCAGGGAGGGTAACTTTGAAATGACTTCTGTTGCAAAAGGGGGTAGAGACGCAGCCACTGGGGAAAACGGTCCCTTGAAAAGTTACGCATAGTCTTATTATAAGACCCAACGATTCCAATCCTAGATATATATACCCAAGAGATTAAATCATGTCCACGCCGAAACTTGTACACAAATGTTCACAGCAGCAGTTTTCATAATAGCCAAAAAGTGAAAACACCCCAAAATATCCACAAACTGGTGAATGAATAAACACATTATGGTCTCTCCATGTGGTGGAATATTATTCAGCCATGAAAAGGAACAAAGCACTAACACATGCTACAAAGTGGATGAACCTTGAAAACATGATGCTGAGTGAAAGAAGGACAAAAGGCCACATAGTATGTGACTCCGTTTATATGAAATGTCCAGAATAGTCAAATCAATAGAGACAGAAAGTAGTGTTTGCCAGGGTCAGGGGGATGGGGATAGGGTGCTTAGTGGTAATGGAATTTCCTTTAGGGGTGATGAACATGTCTTGGAACTAGATAGCAGTGGCAGATTTGCAACATTGTGAATGTATCAATACTAAATGCCACTGATCTGTTCACGTTAAAATGGCTAGCAGTTAATTTTCATGTTCTGTGAATTTTACCTCAATTGAAAAATGAAAAGCGGGGAGGGGGGATGGTTTAACAACTGTGGCCCCTGCCCACCCCTTGGCCTGGCCGAGTGGGCAGGAGCCAGTCCTCTCCTCTCCCCACTGACCCTCAGTCTTCCTGTCCAGATGCCCAGGTGCCTCATTTCTTGTTTATTCTCATTAAAGAAAATCTGGGATATTCCAAGTCATTAAAAGACAGAAAGCACCCATAGAGCCCCTTGGACCTAAGCAGAGCAATGATGGGATAGAGGCCATGGCAGGATGCATTTCAGGCCAGTCAGACCTCGGACTTGGATCTTGCTCCCAGCCCTTAACATCCACCCGTGTGTGACCGAAGGCCCACCCCCTGACCCCTCTCTGCCTCAGTTTCCTCATCTGTAAAGTGGGTGTATGGAGAGTATTCCCCCTTCTCAGGCTGCTGAGGATTGAATGGAATAATTGATGTAAACACTCCCTTGGCACAATGAATGCACTAAATGGTTGTGTATTACTCTCACCCAACCTGTGGGTACGATTCCCTCCAGTCTTGATTCTTTGGATACATTGGGTTCACTTGCCATCCACACTCTGCTCACTTTACCCTTGGCTTTCCCCAGTCCACATGGCCAAGAGCGCCTTGAATGGTCCTGCTTTCTGCAGACCTGATCCTCCAGTCCGCAGTCCCTGTGGGCATCTTCCCCCCAGGTTTCCAGATCCTACATCACTCACACGTGACACCTCTCCTGGAGAAAGTGTTTTCTGGGCATAGAGGCTTATTTCCTTAGGAGACATTCCCAGAGACGGAATCTCCTCTTGTGCAAGGTGGGTCTCCGTGTCAGCAGCGCTGTTTGGTCATCCGCACAGAACGTTCTCATCTGCGTTGATGAGGAGGCCAGCCTTGCCATGTCCCTCAAGAGCTGTGGCGTAGCTTGAGAGAGTTCTCCAGCAGGAATGGCACACGTTCAGGGCAGTCTCTGCCCAGGGTCCTGCCCAGCCCCACTCCTGGCCTCCAAGCCTGGAAAGTGAAGTTTAAGCCTCTGTCTTCAGATGTGTAGAAAGTGGGGGAGCAGAAGGGCATGGGCAGGGAGGGACAGAGGCTGCTGGGGCTCAGGACAGTTGAGCTGAGCAGATCGGGCAGAGTTGCTGAGTCCTGGTGGGCAGAGTGGGGGCGGCAAACCACCACCTGCTTTTGTAAATAGTCTGATACACAGCCACTCCCGTCCATCTACTTTTGGTTGCTTTCCCAGTGCAACGGCAGAACCGAAGAGTAGTTGCAACAGAGATCTTATGATTAGCAAAACTTAAAATCTATACTATCTGGCCTTTTACAGAAAACATTTGCCAACATTTGAAACAGAGGATTGCTTAGGGCTTGCAAACTCAGGTGCCAGGAAACAGGTGAGAACGAAATAACTGAGATGAACTTGGTATAGGAAACATCTTATTAGGGAGACATTAGGGAGGGGTGAGGGCTATGGCAAACTGGAGAGCACGTAGCCCATCTAAAGGGGGCAGCTAGGGAGTTCCCGGGTGGTCCAGTGGTTAGGACTTGGCGCTTTCACTGCCAGGGCCCGGGGTTCAATCCCTGGTCAGCAAACTAAGATCCTGCAAGCTGTGTGACATGGCCAAAAAATAAATTTAAGAAAAAGAAAAGAGGGCAGCTTGTGTCAGCTGTAGGTAGGCTGGACCCAGAGTTGCCAAGGCTTATAATCTCTGAGATACACCAGAAATCTAGAGGTTTGTGTGAACAAGAAAAGAGGCTGCAGAGGGTGAGCATGTGGACACAGATCCCAGCCCTGCCACTTCCTCACTGTGTGACCTTGAACCACTTTCACTCACTGGACTCTGATCTGTAAACTGAGGGGTAGTAGCTGCACTTACTTCACAGGACTCTGATGATTATTAACAAGTTAACATCCTAGGGCTCCTAAAACAGTCTTCTGCACGACAAAACTCTGGCTATATTGGCAGTTTAAAACACTACGATGCCAACAATGGACAGACCGAAGAAAACACATGGATGTTGTACTTTCTGGCCGTGGGTCACAGGTTTGCTTCCCCAACAGAGTGGTTAAGGGGCATGAACTTGGAAGCAGAGGGACTGGCTGCTGCCCAGAGCTGCTGCTTAACCAGCTAAGTGACCTTGGGCAAAGGTGCTTCCCCGGGGCGGGGGCAGGGGGTTCCTGTCTATAGATCTAGGCCGGGGTCATTGTGAGGGTTATAGGGCAGTGACCCGAAAGGGCCTGGTGGAGTAGCTTACCTGTCCCTGTTCTCAGCCCCCTGTTGCAGAGGAGCCCCCAGGTAGGGTCACAAGAAGGGGGTGGAGCTCAGGTTCTTCAGTTAACTGTCACCCTCTCCCCTCCCCCTCAGCACATAACCAGGGTCTGCCAGGACAGGGCAGCCCCCCAAGGCTCCCACAGGGATCCAAGGCCACCAGGTGCCACATGAGGCTGCTTCTCTCCCTCTCTGTCCCCCATGGGTCCAGCCCCTGAGTTTTGCCAGGCCGGCCACACTCTACTGCGGGAGAGTCTGAGTGGGGAGAGACAGATCCCTGGGGCTGGTGCATATCAGAAAGCGGGTTCAGTCTCCCCTGAGAGGCAGCTCCCCCAGGCACCCCTCGACAAACCCCGTGGGCAGTGGGGACTTGGGGGATACATAGGTGAGGGGGCATGAAATATGGGAGTGCCTGGGAGCAGATCTCAAGAGTCAGGGTTCAGAAATGAGAACTCGGGTGGTCCCCCTCTGGAGCCCCAGCGACTCCCTTCTCCCCACCCCACCCGGATGACAGGCATCGTTGTTCCTCAGCCCCATGGACCCCCTGAGGCAGTCCCCCTCCCGCAGCTCGTCACGGGCCTCCAGCCCGAGGACCCTACCCAGCGAGATGCTTGGTTACGTGGGCATCGAGGCCGTGCTGGACCAACTGAAGATCAAGGCCATGAAGATGGGGTTTGAGTTCAACATCATGGTCGTTGGTGAGTGAGGGGCCTCGGGCTCACAGGAGGACAGACCAATGGACGCCACCCTGTGGGCCTGGACCTATCGCCTCTCGGAGCCTCAGCCTCCCCATCTGTAAAGTGGGCCTGATAGTCGTACCTCACAAGAGTGTTGTAGGTGGAAATCTGGGAAACACTGAATTGTGAAAAGACAAAAATCACCGTGAAGCCCCAACCAAACGCAAACAAAGCAATAAAAGGGGAGGCCATGTGTGGCAGGAAGTAGGGAACACCAGACTCATCCTGGTCCCGGGCCTTAACAACCCCCAGTGTGTGACCTGGGACAGGGCCTTTGACCCCTCGCTGCCTCAGTTTCCTCATCTGGCTTAGCACAGTGCCTGGCATCTAGGAAGTTCCCCGTGGGTCAGTTTTATCTGGAATTGCATTTTTATATATGCAAAATTAATGTTGTAGGTCAAAAACTACGCTTCTCACAAAATAAACTGGATATAATGGAACATAAAATGTCAGAGTGTGTAGCACCAACTAAGGGCATTATTCTAAGGTGGGGGTACCCAACAGAAATGTCATAGAAGGGGACTTCCCTGGCAGTCCAGTGGTTAAGACTCTGCACTTCCACTTCTAGAGGCCCGAGTTCAATCCCTGGTCAGGGAACTAGGATCCCACATGCCACGTAGCGTGGCCAAAAATAAAAAGAAAAGAAATGTCATAGGAGCCACATACATAATTTTAAATTCCCTAGTAGCTTCCTTTAGAAAAGTAAAGAGAAACAGGACAACTTACTTTTAATCGTCTTTTTTACTTAAACCAATACATTCCAAAAATACTATCATCTCGACATGTAATCCATATAAAACATTATTCATGCGATCATTTACGTTGTTTTTGTCATAACAAGTCTGCAAAATATGGTTTATTCTTTTACACCAACAGCACATCTCAGTTCAGATTGGTGTATGGCCATACTGCCAGTGGCAATAGCCAGGTGTGGCTCCCATATTGGATAGCAGAGCCCAAAGGACAATTTCAGTTCTTTTTTAATTTTTTAAAATTTATTTATTTTTGGCCACATTGGGTCCTCATTGCTGCATGTGGGCTTTCTCTCTGGTTGCAGTGAGCAGGGGCTACTCTTCACTAAGGTGCGCAGGCTTCTCATTGCGGTGGCTTCTCTTTGTTGTGGAGCATGGACTCTAGGCACATGGGCTTCAGTTGTTGTGGCTCGCGGGCTCTAGAGCGCAGGCTCAGTAGTTATGGCGCACTGGCTTAGTTGCTCTGCGGCAGGTGGGATCTTCCCAGATCAGGGCTCGAAACCGTGTTGCCTGCATTGGCAGGCGGATTCTTAACCACTGCACCACCAGGGAAGTCCCAGTTTCAGTTTTAGACCCAAAAGTGTGTCCTGCCCTGTGATGTAGGATGTTTACTACTGCAGGGCGTGGTCGGCGGAGTTTGAGAAGCCTGCACAGCAGGGAGAATGGACCATCTACAAGCTCAGGCAGCATAGGGGAATCTCACTAAAAGAAGCCAGACATGAAAGCGCACGTGCTGTGTGATTCCCCAAGTAGAGGGCGGGCAGCGCTGCTCCCTACCGATGATGTCAGGAGAGTGGCTGTCCCTGGAGCTGTGTTAACAGTTACTGCGAGGAGGCAGGAGTGGTCTTGGGCGGAGCTGTGTGTTCTGTCTCTTTATCTGGTGCTGCATACATGGGTGGTTTAATTTGTAAAAATGCATTGACCTGCTCATCAACAGATGAATGGATAAACACAGTGTGGTCTATTCATCTGATGGAATATTATTTAGCCATGAAAAAGTATGAAGTTCTAGCACATGCAACAGTGTGGCTGACCCTTGAAAGCATTATGCTGAGTGGGAGCAGCCAGATACAAAAGGACAGTTATTGCAAGATTCCATTTATATGAAATGTCCAGGGAATTCCCCAGAGGTCCAGTAGTTAGGACTTGGCACTTTCACTGCCTAGGGCCCGGGTTCCATCCCTGGCTGGGGAGCTAAGATCCCATAAGCCAAGTGCCGCTGCCAAAAAGAAAAAAGAAATGTCCAGAATAGGCAAATCCATAGATAGAAAGCAGATTAGTGGTTGCCAGGGGTTGGGGGGAGGGGAAATGGGGACTGAGTGCCTAATGGATATAGGGTTTCTTGCTGGGGTGATGAAAATGTTTTGGAGCTAGATAGGGGTAGTGGTTGCACAACACTGTGCATGTACCCAATGCCACTGAATTGTACACTTTCAATGGTTAATGTTAATTTTTTATTATATGAATTTTGCCTCAGTAAAAAATGGGGGAAAGCATTGAACTGGAGACTTATGATAATACGTGCTTTTCTGTATTTGTTATACTTAGAAAACAGTTTACTTTCCAAAACCATTTATTTAAGAATTTCAGAAACATGCCTAACGCATCCACAGTTGTTGCTGCCGTGTGATTACTCACAGGACAGAGCGGGCTGGGCAAGTCCACCATGGTGAACACACTCTTCAAGTCCAAGATGTGGAAGTCCACCATGCCGGGCCTGGGGGTGCCCACACCCCAGACGCTGCAGCTGCAGTCTGTGACCCACGGTGAGTGAGCACCCCCTCACTCCACCCCCACCCCACCCACCCAGGCCCACTCCCAGCCCCTCTGCTCTCCCCCTACAGTCATCGAGGAGAGCGGCGTGAAGCTTAAGCTGACAGTGACTGACACACCCGGCTTCGGGGACCAGATCAACAACGACAAGTGGTGGGTCCTGGCGGGGAGGTGGGAAGGGCAGAGCCCTGGCTGCCCCTGCCCCTGCCCCTCCGGTCTCTGGGAAACATCCAGGCCTGGAGCCACCTGGCTGTGGCATCTTTGAGGCTCAGTTTATTTGTCTGTACAGTAGGTGTGTGCAACTCTCCCCCCAAGATCAAAGGAGTCAAGTATGTAAAGGTCTTAGCTTGCTGCCTGGAAGCACTCGATAGAGGCTATGGTATGGCAGGGGGATAGAAGCCCACACTCCAGAGTCAGGACCCTTGGGTTTGACCACTTCCCAGCTGTATAACCTGGGCCTGGCCACGCAAGCTCTCTGAGCCTCCTCTTCCTTCTTCGTAACTTGGGGGTGACGACATCCCCTTTGCAGAGTTGTTCTAGGCTCTCAAGGAGATGAAACACACACACACACACACACACACACACACACACACACACACAATCGGGACTGGCTGCACAACTTGTGGGGGCCTTTATTCAAAAATTACTAAGGGGCTTCCCTGGTGGCGCAGTGGTTGAGAGTCCGCCTGCCGATGCAGGGAACACGGGTTCGCGCCCCGGTCCGGGAAGATCCCACATGCCGCGGAGCGGCTAGGCCCGTGAGCCATGGCTGCTGAGCCTGCGCGTCCGGAGCCTGTGCTCCGCAATGGGAGAGGCCACAACAGTGGGAGGCCCGCGTACCGCAAAAAAAAAAAAAAAATTACTGAGAATTGTAAGACCACACCCGCAGAGCATTCAGCCCTGCGTGGGCCCTTCTTGGTTCAGAGCCCTGGGTGCCGGCTCTATCCACACTCCCATGAAGCCAGCCCTGCACACAGCACCTCACCGAGCACTTAGTATGTGCAAGCTCTGTTCTAGACACAGGGATACAGCAATGAACAGAACTGATGAACATCTTTGTCTGCATGAAATGTATATTGTCATGGGTGTGGGGAGGCAAACAGTGAACAAAATTAATCAGTTTTGTGGAGGGTGAACCTGAACTCTTTATCACCGACACAGGACACTTTCTGGGAGTGAAAGGGGGATGGAGCTGTAGTTGGTGGGGGAGTGCAGTTTTAAGCAGAGTGATCAAGGCAGAGGGTGGCAGGTGCAAAAGCCTTGAAGTGGGGGTGGGGTGGGAGGGGAGGCAGAGCTCAGCAGTGGGATGGGGTAGGGACTTGTAGGGCAACATAAGGACTTTGGCTTTTCTTTGATCACTGGAGGCTGAGCAGAAAAAGGATATTTTTGGCCGCTGTGTTGACAATAGCCCTGTGGGGGGAAGGGACCCTGGCAACAATTGGGAGAGAGTCCCTGGTGGTTTGAACCAGGCTGCAGCAATTTCTCTCCTTTCATGCTCACTCCTCCCCTACAAAGTAGGTGCTCTCTTACTGTCCCCATTTTACGGAAGAGGAAGCTGAGGAAGAGGAAGCAGGGGTCTCTCTGAAGATGCAGGGGTATGGGGGGTTGGTACTTGGGTGATCAAGGGCCTCAGGTTGTGTGGGACTGAAATTCCTGTGTCCCAGGCAAACGGGGCGATTGGTCATCCTAAGGGGAGAGCACTCAGAGGACCTAGGTTGAGGGGGGCTCCTGGCGAGGTTCTGAGGCTGAGCCATCTCCCACCCCAGCTGGGACCCCATCCTGGGCTACATCAATGAGCAGTACGAGCACTACCTGCAGGAGGAGATCCTCATTACCCGGCAGCGACACATCCCCGACACCCGAGTGCACTGCTGCGTGTACTTCGTGCCGCCCACCGGGCACTGGTGAGGTGGCTGAGCCGGTGGGCAGAGGGCCACCTGCGTGGGGAGGAGAAGAAGAGGAGGAGGAACCCCCGGGGTGGGCTGCGGGCTGGCACCCACTCATCGTATGCTCACGGCCATCGCTGCCCCACCTGAGCAGGCTGCGGCCCCTGGACATTGAGTTCCTGCGGCGGCTCTGCCGGACTGTGAACGTGGTGCCTGTGATCGCCCGGGCCGACAGCCTGACCATTGAGGAGCGAGAGGCCTTCAGGCACAGGGTAATCTGGGCACCTGGGACAAGTCTGGGGTCAGTGGGGGTGTGGAGTGGGGGAGAATGCACAGGTGGGCTGAGGTCATCTGTGTGTGGTCCCCAGATCCAGGAAAACCTGAAGACTCACGGCATAGAGGTGTATCCACAGCAGTGCTTCGATGAGGACATCAATGACAAGATCCTCAATAGCAAGATCCGGGTAGGAGGCCATGGGAGGTGGGGAGGCTGGTGGGACCAAGGCTGGGTGATGTGCTTCCCACTCATCCTTTCCATCTGAAGATTCGTCTCTCTCTGCAACTTGGGGAAAGTTCATATATTTCTAGCAGGTATGAATCTCCACTCATCCACAAGCTCAAGGTGAGCAAGAAATAGGTCATATCAACAACCCCCAGAATGGGAGAAAATGTTTGCAAATGATATATCTGATAAGGGACTTGTATCCTGAATATATAAAGAATTCTTACAAATCAACAATAAAAGACAAGTACCCCAAGTTAAAAATGGGCAAAGGATTTGAATAGACATTTCCCCAAAGAATTTATACCAATGGCCACTAAGCATATGAAAAATTGTTCAACATCATCAGTCATGAGGGAAATGCAAATCAAAACCACAATAAGATACCACCTCACACCCACTAGGGTAGTTAGTATCAAAATGACACACAATGACAAGTGTTAGTAAGGATGTGGAGAAATTGGAACTTTCACACACTTCTTGTGGAAGTATCAAATGGTGTAGCAATTTTGGAAAACAGTCTGGCAATTCTTCAAGGTTGAACACTAAATTACTATATGACCCAACAATTCCACTCCCCAAAGAAATGAAAACCTATGTTGACATAAAAACTCATACACAAATGTTCATAGTAGAATTATTTGTAATAGCCAAAAAGTGGAAACATTCAAATGTCCATTAACTTGTGAATGGATAAACAAATGTGGTCTATCCATACAAGGGAATATTACTTAGCCATAAAAGGAATAAAGTTCTGATAGATCCTACCCTAACCCTAACCCAATGTGGATAAACCTTGAAAATGTGATGCTAAGTGAAAGGAGCCAGACACAAAAGGCCAAGTATTATATGATTCCATTACATGAAATGTCCAGAATAGGCAAATCTATAGAGATAGAAAATAGACTTGTGGTTGCCAGGGGCCGGGAGATTTAGGGGAAAATGGGGAGTGACTGCTAAAGGGTACGGGCTTTCATTTTGGGGTGATGAAAGTGCTCTGGAGTTAGATTTTGGTGATGGTTGCACAACTTGTGAGAATACTGGAAACTACTGAACTGTACCTCTAAAAGGGCAAATTTTGTGGTATGTAAATTATACTCAGTAAAGTTGAAGAAAGAGAGAGAGAGGAAGGAAGGAAGGGAGGGAGGGAGGAAGGGAGAAAGAAAGAAAGAAAGAAAGAAAGAAAGAAAGAAAGAAAGAAAGAAAGGGGGAGGGGGAGAAAGAAAGGAAATAGCTCACATCTTCATTTTCTCTGAATCAACTGAATTTCGCCTCCAAGCCCCCATCTTCCTGTCCTTGTGGTACATTCAATGTCAGTCTGTCTGGATCCTGCAAAGCACCTGGGTGAGGCCTGGGATTCTTCATCCATAGACACCTGGCCTCCACTCCCTCCCCCAGGGACCCTGCTAACCTACACAGCACTTTAGCTTGAATTAGAAAAAGGCAGTAGGGGCTTCCCTGGTGGCACAGTGGTTGAGAGTCCCCCTGCTGATGCAGGGGACACGGGTTTGTGCCCCGGTCCGGGAAGATCCCACATGCCGTGAAGCGGCTGGGCCCGTGAGCCATGGCTGCTAAGCCTGCGCGTCCGGAGCCTGTGCTCTGCAATGGGAGAGGCCACAACAGTGAGAGGCCCGCGTACCGCAAAAAAAAAAAGAAAAAGAAAAAGAAAAAGGCAGTAGCTTCCTTCACAGAAGGGAGCCTGCATGGGATTTCAGCCCTACACAGCCTCATGGTAAGTTACCTTTGTGCAGTGCACAAACTGCACATCTGTACATGGAAGCCCTGCTTCTTGTCTGGCATCCAGTTTCTCCACACATTCCCTCTTTCTGCTCCCCATTGGAGCAATGAACAGTATTTCCTGTGAAAGGTTCAAAGAGCCTTGACCTTCTGCTTTCTGTCCTGAGGCCAGCAAAGACAGCAGCCTGCTCACAGCTGGAACAGTGCTGGGGGAAATAAAGGAGAATGTATTCAAATTAACCTCTCAATAAATCATCCAGATATATAACATCTATTGAGGGTCAAATATGGGCTGATGCATAATAAGTGTGCAAGAGACAGTTATTATTAGCATCAATTTATTCCCCATCACAACCTAATTCTTAGAAAAACAAACCTACATGCAGCACTTGCCTGTTTAATCTCCACTTCCTGCCACGAATAAGTAAACAACCAGAATTTACAACAGGGCTCAGCAAACTTTTTTTGTGAAGGGCCAGACTATGGTAAGTATTTTAGACTTTGTTGCAATTACTCAACTCTGCTGTAGTAGAATGAAAGCAACATAGACAAGAGTAAATGAATGGCAGGGGCGGTATGCCAACGAACTTGCCTGGTTTGGCCCAGGAACCATAGGTTGCCAGCCCCTGGTTTACAAAATTCTCTCTTTCTTTTTTTTTTCTTTTTAATTTTTTGGCCGCGCCCCGCGGCCTGTGGGATCTTCCCCGACCAGGGATCGAACCCATGTCCCCTGTAGTGGAAGGGCGGAATCTTAACCACTGGACAGCCAGGGAAGTCCTCTCTCTCTCTTTAAATTTCTTTTATTGAAGTATAGTTGATTTACAATGTTGTGTTAGTTTCTGGTATACAGCAAAGTGATTCAGTTTTATATATATAATGTGTATGTATATATATATTTATATATACATGTTTATAAATATATATATGTATTCCTTTTCATATTCTTTTCCATTATGGTTTATTACAGGATTTTGAATACAGCTCCCTGTGCTATACAGTAGGACCTTGTTTTTCATCCAGTCTCTATATAGTAGTTTGTATCTGCTAATCCCAAACTCCCAGTCCATCCCTCCCCCACCCCACCCCCTTGGCAACCACAAATCTGTTCTCTGTGTCTGTGAATCTGTTTCTGTTTTGTAGATAGGTTCATTTGTATCATATTTTAGATTCCCACATATAAGTGATATCATATAGTATTTGTCTTTCTCTTTCATTTTTTAATAACTTTATTTATTTTTGGCTGCATTGGGTCTCCATTGCTGTGTGCGGGCTTTCTCTACTTGCCGCGAGCGGGGGCTACTCTTGGTTGCGGTGCACGTGCTTCTCATTGCGGTGGCTTCTCTTGTTGGGGAGCACGGGCTCTAGGCACACAGGCTTAAGTAGTTGTGGCACACAGGCTCAGTAGTTGTGGCTCACGGGCTAAGAGCACAGGCTCAGTAGTTGTGGCGCACAGGCTTAGTTGCTCTGTGGCATGTGGGTTCTTCCTGGACCAGGGCTTGAACCCATGTCCTCTGCATTGGCAGGCGGATTCTTAACCACTGCGCCACCAGGGAAGTCCCTGTCTTTCTCTTTCTGATTTACTTCAACTAGTATGATAATCTCTAGGTCCATCCATGTTGCTGCAAGAGGCATTATTTCATTCTTTTTTATGGCTGTGTAATATTCCATTGTGTGTATGTATATATATATATATATATGTGCCATATTTTCTTTATCCATTCAGCTGTCAATGGACATTTAGGTTATTTCCATGTCTTGGCTATTGTAAATAGTGCTGCTATGAACTAAGAAGTGCATGTATCTTTTCGAATTATAGTACAAAATTATCTCTTAACCCTCATGTTAATGGTTGAAGGTGGTAAGAAATTGGGCATGAGCAGTATTATATCACTAATGTAGCTCTGAGTAACACTTGGTTTCCAAGACTTGTTCTGCTAACCCCTTCATTATGCTAAGCCCAAGATTATCCTTCCCAAACATTCACAGAGCCCTGCATCAGTATTGTCATGACTCCCATTTTACAGATGAGGAAACTGAGGCACACTGATAAGACTTTGTGTCTTCTGACTTCAGATATCTGTGCTCCTTCTATCACTTTCTCTCCCCACAAAGGACAGCATCCTGCAGGTTCCTATCTCAGTGTCTTCTCTCTCCACTTCCCGGGTGGGGCCAACCCTCCGATCTTGTCCCTTCCCTGCAGGAACGGATCCCCTTCGCTGTGGTCGGGGCTGACCAAGAGCACATTGTGAATGGGAGGTGTGTTCTGGGCCGGAAGACGAAGTGGGGCATCATTGAAGGTCAGTGCAGGGGCCCTGGCGAGGGCTCAGGGGAGAACATGTTGAAAAGCCCTGTTGCCTTTGGCATCCTTACACCCACCACAGAGCCCAGCACAGGAAACAGAGAGACCTGGGATCAAGTTCCTTTGTGCAGCTCAGAAGCCCCGGGCAAGTTCCCCGACACCCTGGGCCTCAGTTTCCTCACAGTCAAATGGGTATCATTGTAACATCAACCTCATAGGGTGGTTGGAGGGGGCAGAGCCTCTGCTTTGCGTGATACCTGGCACCCAGGAGGCACCCTATTCATTCACTAGAATTGATTGTGGGCCTACTATGTGCCACAGAGCTGACCAGACAAGGACAGGTGGGAAAAGCACAGTGAAGGAAATGTGGGATGGGAGGGGGTACCTGAGGGAGCAGAGGAAGGCCCTGCTGATTCAACAGCTGTTTATAGGAGCCACCTGTACCAGGGGCTGGGACACAGCCGTGAATGAATGAATGAACTAACAAACGGGAGGTGGGCTAACACAGGGAGACGTGGGGAAGGGCTGGCAGTGGCAGGGGGTGTGCAGCATACAGCAGGTGCTTACTCAGTGCTGGCCGAGGGCGGGGCGTGGAACAGAGCCTGCACTCAGGGGTTTGGTGCCGTATCTTGTAGTGGAGAACATGGCTCACTGTGAGTTCCCCCTCCTGAGAGACCTGCTCATCCGGTGAGTATGTGGGGAGCCCGAGGGGCTGCGGGGGCCCTGGAGGATGCCCTGGAAGTCCTGCTGACCTACCACCTATCTCCCAGCTCCCACCTCCAAGACCTGAAGGACATCACACACAATGTCCACTATGAGAACTACCGCATCTTCAGACTGAATGAAAGCCACGTGCTGCCCCGAGGGCCCGGCTGGGTGAACCTGGCCCCAGCCCCGGCCTCTGTCCCTGCCCCCGCTGGCCCCCAGGCCCACCCCGGCCCCTCAAAGGTCGGCGGGTGGGCCAAGGACAACTCAGATGAGGAATGCTGAGCACCGGCACATCCCGGGCCCGCGGGGCTCCCCAAGTCCTGGGCAGCCCCCTGACACACACCTGTGTACTAGAGCATGTATTAAAGAGTAGACATTGCTTTTTATGAAAAGCTGTGCTTTGAAAACAAAAGGTGTTTTGTAAATGACTTCTTTGAGCTATCCTCAAATAAAAGTATTGTTCTTTCTAAAATAGTGTGAGACTCTCAGGTCCTCAGGAGTCTTGAAGACCTGGGAGGGCCTGCCTTGGACGACCAGCCCCTTCTGCCCCAGAACCAGAGTCAAGTTCCAAATCATGCTCTGCTGTCCGTATCAGGCTCTGACGTCTGTCCCAAAGCCTCCCTCCTGCATGGGGCGTCGTAAACACTTAAAAACTCATCTTTGCCATCTTCCCCAAACTCTGTGCCCCTCACTCCTGCCTTCCCTTTTGCCCCACCCTGGCAGACCAGAATGGTGAGAAAACAATTCCAACTTTGGAGTCTGGCGAAGCTGATATGAAAATCCCCGCCCTGCCATTGACCTTGTGCGCTGTGACCTTGGGCGAGTCACTTACTCTTGTGGGCCTCAGTGTCCTCATCTGTAAAACTGGGCTGATACTATCGGTCCCACAGTGTTGTTGTGTGGACAAAACGGAGTGATTCATGGAATGTGCCTGCCACCCCTGGAGAAACAGCTCTCAGAGATGACAGGAACAGCAGAGACCACGGGTACAGGGCAGAGGCTGTGCCCACAGGGTGTGTGAGCACTTCCCAGGACTCTCTGGAACCCTCGAAAGGAAATGGACTTCATGGAAGCCCACACCGTACACCCAAGCTCCCCTAGGGCGCAGGCAGGCAGTGAGCATTCAGTAAGTGACCATGGGGAGCAGCAGTGGTATCCCAGCTGCTGGCCTGCACGCTCCTGGTCACTGGGGCAATCTTTTTCTCGGGGGGTGGGTATTGGTCCTGCTCTCTGCTGATGACTTTACCTCCAGTTTTGGAAGCTCTTTTCATGCCCACAGTGATGCTGCAGCCCATGCTTGGCACAGACTCAGTTGTGTACCCAGTAATGGCCGTGCACAGATTTCTTCTGCATTTCCTGACCTGGGTCAGCTGGGTGAGGGTGAAGCCCTCAGCTGACACGTCTTGGGATTCCCCAGGCCCAGCAAGCACGGATTACAACTCCAGCTCTGCCGCTTTTTAACTGCAGGACTTTAGACAAGTCATCTGACATCCCAGAATCCACTTCCTCCTTTGGAAAACAGAGACAGCATCACCAACCTCCTACTTCAGGGTGTGTGAAGACAAGCCTGTTCACAGATGCCCAGGTCCCATAAGGAGCCATTTTACTGATTGTTTTGTTCCGTTTTGTAGGCACGGCGAGGGGCGGTGGTTTCTTTTATGTGGTGCACTAATCAGGTTCATGTCATAATGATACAGTCATCGTATTAACAATAGTGGGCATTTTTTTAAATGGGGAATCACAAAATGAATTCCCATGTACCTGGTATAATAAAATATTCCCCCGATTTCACGGACGAGAATGTTCATAGCAGCTTAATTTATGATAGCCTATAACCGGAAACTGCAAATGTTGGGTGGCAGTGTAAGGTCGGATCTTAACAAACGGCACCGCGAAACAGAGGAAAGCTTCAAGTGAGCTTTATTAGGGAGCGCTCCCGGGCGAGGTTCACTGGTCCGAGAGAAAGGGGCCAGCGAAGTCGCACCCGGGCGAGGGTTGGGCAAGATTTTATAGGGGAAGAAGGGAAAGAGGTGTGGTGAATCTGGGAGGGCGCAGGGTATTCCTTATTTGGTGGTCTTTTCGGGTATCCTGGGGGACGGTTGGTCCCGCCCCTCGAAAGGCGGGAAGGCTGGGCTGGGTTCAAAGTCCCCAGGTCAGTTTCTGGAACTGGGTGGTCCGGAGAATTTCGTTCTGATGCAACCTGTGAATCTGATTGTGTTCCCCTGCCTCGGGCCAGTTGGCCTTACGGGCAGGAGAGTGGATAAGCTATGGCAGAGTCACACAATGGACCACTCCTGGGCAATAAAAATGAACCTACTACTGATAAACACAACAGCATGGGTGAGTTTCACAGACCTAATGGAGAGTGAAAGAAGCCAGCAAGCAAAGAGAATGCACCCTGTGGATGCCCTTTTACAGAGTTCAAGAACAGGAAAAATCAATTAAAGGTGATGGAAATAAGATTTGTGCTTTAAAAGGGCAAGGGCTGGGAGTGCCGCTGGGGAGGGGCATGAGGGAGCCTTCAAAGAATTGAAAATGACCTATATTTTGATCTGGGCGAGGTTACACAGGTGTACAGCTTTGTAAGATTCTTTGAGCCATACCCTTCAGATTTGTGCACGTTACCGTAGCCATGTTATACTGCAAGTATAAAAATCTTAGATGGTGAAGAGAAATTTTAAAAAATTAAAATAGGAACAGTATACAACTAATAATGCCTGCTTAAAAATCAGTACTGCAGTTATTTAAAATTATTTATGAGAATATTTGCTAGGTTTCAATATTTCAAGAATGCAAATTCCCAATAATGGCTATTTTGTTGTTGTTGCTGTTGCTGTTAAAAATGCACATTAGGGGCTTCCCTGGTGGCGCAGTGCTGAAGAATCCACCTGCCAGTGCAGGGGACATGGGTTCCAGCCCTGGTCCGGGAAGATCCCACATGCCGCGGAGCAACTAAGCCCGTGTGCCACAACTACTGAAGCCCGTGCGCCTAGAGCCCGTGCTCCACAGCAAGAGAAGCCACCACAATGAGAAGCCCGCGCACCTCAACGAAGAGTAGCCCCCAGTCGTCGCAACTAGAGAAAGCCTGCACGCAGCAACGAAGACTTAATGCAGCCAAAAGTAAATAAATAAATAGGGGGGGAAAAGCACATTAAGGGACTTCACTGATAGTCCAGTGGTTAAGACTCTATGCTCCCAATTCAGGGGACCCAGGTTCAATCCCTGGTCAGGGAACTAGATCCCGCATGCTGCAACTAAAAGCCCGCATGCTGCAACTAAAGATCCCGCATGCTGCAACGAAGATCTTGCATGCGGCAACAAAGATCCCGTGTGCCGCAACTGAGACCCAGCACACACAAATAAATAAATATTAAAAAACAATCTGTGAGATTTATCCCTCCATCATTCTGTTGATCGACATTGAAATTGTTTTTAGGTTTTATCATTACAAAGAACACTGCTCTGAACAGAGAGGAAGTCTTTATTATTTACAAAATTAGCATATATTAAGCCTTTATTATGTGTCAGGCATTCTATTGCCTATTTAAATCACAACAGCGCCTATCCCAGGTGTTACTATCCTCATTTTACTAAACTGTTATTCTTACCTTCTCCCTCCTTCACCCCAACCGAATCAGCCCCAGGGCCCTGTGGCTTCTGCTTTAGGAATCTGGGTCAGATCCCTGCTTCTATGACTACCACCATCTCTAGTAGTACCTCAACTTCGGGCCCCAGGAGCTTCCAGCTGCTCTCACTGCTCCTCTCTAGATCTGTACTCCACAAAGCTTCCTCTCCTGTCAGGACACTGTCCTGCTTAAAACCCCAAACTCTATTGGTTTCCCCTTGCTCTTAGGATATAACCCTCAATCCTCACAGGAGCCGCCCAGGTCTTGGTCTCACCTCTCCAGCCTCATCTCCCAAGCTTGGCCCCCTGCACCGGGGCCACAATGGTCTCCTTTCTGTCCCGCAAATGCACCCCGATCTCTTGGGCCTCAGGACCTTCACACCTGCGGTTCCTTCTGTGTGGCCCCCTCTTCCCCCATTCCTCAGGCTAACTCTAAGATACCTTCCTTCCTCTGCTCAACTGTCACATCCATCCTAAGAGAGACAGGTCCTCTTCTTCTCTATCCGTTTGGCAGCATTCACCAAAGAGGTGACTAAACAATTATTTGTGCAATTATTTGTCCGCTGTATGCCTCTCTTTGCAGAATGTAAGTTCCATGAAAGAATGCACTTGTTCACCACCGCCGCCGAAACCCCAGCACCTAGCAGAGCTGGCAGATGTGATCGCTCATATGTGGCTTTAAAAAATATAGGTATGAACGGATGAAAGGATTTTGAACGACTTAACGTCCCCCATTCACACATGTGGAAACTGAGGCTAAGAGCACGCAAGGGACTGGCCTGTGGCCTCGGCAACGACAAAGTCGCGGCCGGAGGCTTCTCCTCAGCCCTTCGGAAGGCCACCTCCAGGAGAGACCTTCAAGGTAACGTGACACCGCCCCGCCCCAAGGGGTCCCCTGGGTATCTGCCAGTCAGGCGCGGCGCGCAACACGCTGGAAAAGTAGTCCGGCCGCTCCCCATTCCGGCGCCCGCGACTTCCGCCTCTGGCGGGCACAGTCCTCGCGCGGGGCTTTGGGAAAGACGTGCGGAATCGCGGCGGTCGGTCCGTTCTTGGTCTCGGTCGCTGCGCGGCGGACGCTGTCCTTGGTTGTGCGCTGATTTCGGTGCGCTGGGGCTCCTTCCCGGGCGCGGAGGTTGAAACTCCGGGAAGGGAGGTGACTTGCGTGCGGCCGCAGTCTTTGGGGCAGAGGCGGGACTCGAATATGGGCTGCCTCCCCTTCCCGGCCTCTTTTCGCTGTGGCGTCATCGGGCGCGCTACAGAGCGAGTTCAACCAAAAGGACAGGGAGAGAGTCAAGTGTAGCCGACTGAATCAGGCCTTAGGATGTGTGCGATATTATTACTGGCTAGAGTGGATTAACCCGGGACTTAGGAGCTGTAGTTCTGGAATCAAGAATTTGTGTTCCAGGGACTTCTCTGATGGCGCAGTGGTTAAGAATCCGCCTGCCATTGCAGGGGACACGGGTTTGATCCCTGGTCCGGGAAGATCCCACATGCCGCGGAGCGATTAAGCCCGTGCGGCACAACTACTGAGCCTGCGCTCTAGAGCCCGCGAGCTACGACTACTGAAGCCCGAGTGCCTGGAGCCCGAGCTCCGCAGTAAGAGAAGCCACTGCAATGAGAAGCCCACGCGCTGCTCGCCGTAACTAGAGAAAGCCCGCGCAGCAGCAAAGACCCAAAGCAGCCAAAAATAAATAAATTTATTTTTTTAAAAAATTGTGTTCCAATCCCATTGCTGTCACTTCCTAGTCATATGACCCCCCTGTGGGTTCAATACCTAAAACTCAGAGATTCAGGGTTTTTTTTTTTTAACCTGTAAAGATACAGTACCTCTGGCCTTACTAAATTAA